CTCGTGTTCAGGGCCATACACAGAACAGGTTGTGACAGTCAGTCAAGTCACTGGTGTTCAGGGCCATACACAGAACTGACTGTGACAGTCAGTCAAGTCACTGGTGTTCAGGGCCATATACAGAACAGACTGTGACAGTCAGTCAAGTCACTGGTGTTCAGGGCTATATACAGACAGGTTGTGACAGTCAAGTCACTGGTGTTCAGGGCCATATACAGAACAGACTGTGACAGTCAGTCAAGTCACTGGTGTTCAAGGCTATATACAGAACAGACTGTGACAGTCAGTCAAGTCACTGGTGTTCAGGGCCATACACAGAACAGACTGTGACAGTCAGTCAAGTCACTGGTGTTCAGGGCCATATACAGAACAGACTGTGACAGTCAGTCAAGTCACTCGTGTTCAGGGCCATACACAGAACAGACTGTGACAGTCAGTCAAGTCACTGGTGTTCATGGCCATACACAGAACAGACTGTGACAGTCAGTCAAGTCACTGGTGTTCAGGGCCATATACAGAACAGACTGTGACAGTCAGTCAAGTCACTGGTGTTCAAGGCTATATACAGAACAGACTGTGACAGTCAGTCAAGTCTCTGGTGTTCAGGGCCATATACAGAACAGACTGTGACAGTCAGTCAAGTCACTGGTGTTCAGGGCCATATACAGAACAGGTTGTGACAGTCAAGTCAAGTCACTGGTTTTCAAGGCCATATACAGAACAGACTGTGACAGTCAGTCAAGTCACTGGTGTTCAGGGCCATATACAGAACAGGTTGTGACAGTCAAGTCACTGGTGTTCAGGGCCATATACAGAACAGGTTGTGACAGTCAGTCAAGTCACTGGTGTTCAGGGCCATACACAGAACAGACTGTGACAGTCAGTCAAGTCACTCGTGTTCAGGGCCATACACAGAACAGGTTGTGACAGTCAGTCAAGTCACTGGTGTTCAGGGCCATACACAGAACAGACTGTGACAGTCAGTCAAGTCACTCGTGTTCAGGGCCATATATACAGAACAGACTGTGACAGTCAGTCAAGTCACTGGTGTTCAAGGCCATATATACAGAACAGACTGTGACAGTCAGTCAAGTCACTGGTGTTCAGGGCCATACACAGAACAGACTGTGACAGTCAGTCAAGTCACTGGTGTTCAGGGCCATACACAGAACAGGTTGTGACAGTCAGTCAAGTCACTGGTGTTCAGGGCCATACACAGAACAGACTGTGACAGTCAGTCAAGTCACTGGTGTTCAGGGCTATATACAGAACAGGTTGTGACAGTCAGTCAAGTCACTGGTTTTCAAGGCCATATACAGAACAGACTGTGACAGTCAGTCAAGTCACTGGTGTTCAGGGCCATATACAGAACAGGTTGTGACAGTCAAGTCACTGGTGTTCAGGGCCATATATACAGAACAGACTGTGACAGTCAGTCAAGTCACTGGTGTTCAAGGCTATATACAGAACAGACTGTGACAGTCAGTCAAGTCACTGGTGTTCAGGGCCATACACAGAACAGACTGTGACAGTCAGTCAAGTCACTGGTGTTCAAGGCCATACACAGAACAGACTGTGACAGTCAGTCAAGTCACTGGTGTTCAGGGCCATACACAGAACAGACTGTGACAGTCAGTCAAGTCACTGGTGTTCAGGGCTATATACAGAACAGGTTGTGACAGTCAGTCAAGTCACTGGTGTTCAAGGCCATATACAGAACAGGTTGTGACAGTCAAGTCAAGTCACTGGTTTTCAAGGCCATATACAGAACAGACTGTGACAGTCAGTCAAGTCACTGGTGTTCAGGGCCATATACAGAACAGGTTGTGACAGTCAAGTCACTGGTGTTCAGGGCCATATACAGAACAGACTGTGACAGTCAGTCAAGTCACTGGTGTTCAGGGCCATACACAGAACAGGTTGTGACAGTCAGTCAAGTCACTGGTGTTCAGGGCCATACACAGAACAGACTGTGACAGTCAGTCAAGTCACTGGTGTTCAAGGCCATACACAGAACAGACTGTGACAGTCAGTCAAGTCACTGGTGTTCAAGGCCATATACAGAACAGACTGTGACAGTCAGTCAAGTCACTGGTGTTCAAGGCCATATATACAGAACAGACTGTGACAGTCAGTCAAGTCACTTTTTGTTCAGGGCCATATACAGAACAGACTGTGACAGTCAAGTCAAGTCACTGGTGTTCAAGGCCATATATACAGAACAGACTGTGACAGTCAAGTCAAGTCACTGGTGTTCAGGGCCATATACAGAACAGACTGTGACAGTCAGTCAAGTCACTGGTGTTCAAGGCCATATACAGAACAGGTTGTGACAGTCAAGTCAAGTCACTGGTGTTCAGGGCCATATACAGAACAGACTGTGACAGTCAAGTCACTGGTGTTCAAGGCCATATATACAGAACAGGTTGTGACAGTCAGTTAAGTCACTGGTGTTCAAGGCCATATACAGAACAGGTTGTGACAGTCAGTCAAGTCACTGGTGTTCAAGGCCATATACAGACAGGTTGTGACAGTCAAGTCACTGCTGTTCAGGGTCATACAGAGTGGCTCTCATTAAACTTACAGGGAATCACACAATGTCGGTGGCGAGAGGAAAAGCACTCAAAGATCAACACACTCATACAGTGTAGCACAATTTCACTTTGCATCAATTTGGGATTTGGTTTTACTTTGATGAGTCTAAAGGTTCTGTGTTTAGTAAGCCTGTCCGAATCACCACACACTTGGGAAAATGTAGTGTTGAAATTAATCTAAGAAAAGTGCTGTAACACAAATCTAATTGTCATGTAAAAGGTAGAATAATAGAAATAAATAACTCTTGACATTTGGAGCTCCTGTACCTTAATAATAATTAACACAGACGACCAAGAGCAATACTTCTACAACTACTGGAATTCCCTTCCTTAACACAGACTTACAAAGGCAGTAGCTCTACCAGTGCTTCAGGCATGTGGATGGATGGATTGATGGCAATGGGAAATAGAAATAGGATTATAAATCAAGGAGGAAGAGGGAAACAATGGATGATGGAGTGGGCGATAATCTCTACATATTCAAAGACATATCAGAAAAGGGAGGAAGGAATGTACATGGACTTTTTACCTTGTCAGTCAGACACATCTAATCTGATGGAGGGATGCTGCATGAACTCTTTGTAATAATGCTACAGGTACCTTTATATTCCTCCTACTTGGGACACGTAAAGTGAAGGAGATTGATGCACAGCTGCCACACTGGCCCATTGCCCTGTTACACGGCAGGCCAACCTGTCATCATTACTTGGATCACAGGACTTACACCGGTGATCCACACACCAGGAAGAACATCAACTATAATACTCACACCCAAAGTTTACAAACGACTTGTCTGAAGTAACCCCAACAGTGTAATAATCTCATTTTTATCATTTCAACACAACCATCCAACATACGACAAAAGTGTGGAAACATCATGAGGCTCACACTCATTTCCACTCAGCGTGCCTTTCCCCCACGGCAATTACAGAGGAACACACATTTACCACAACTAACTCGCCACGTACTCAGTCAGGTACTGCCTTTGCACTGACCACAGCGACTTGTATGGAACCGTTACGAAGTTAAGGTTGTTTCAATTTAATACAGACGAGATTATAGCCGGTAATCAGACTCGTAGTGATGAGGCCCACTACAGTATCCACCGAATCGCTCCTACATTCTGTTTACACATATCCAAATAATCAAATCAGGAGATGGTCATTCACTCACTTGTCCCCAGGCCAGGCACATAATACAGACCTTCTCTTTCGTGAAATTGACAATGGTAATTAGTTGTACTCACTGCTCAGATAATTGAACCCAATCTGTAATCTAATAACCTGCAAGCCATAATGCTTCTGAACTCCTACATAGAAGTGTTGGCACAACACACAGTGAGTGAGTGAGTGAGTGAGTGAGTGAGTGAGTGAGTGAGTGAGTGAGTGAGTGAGTGAGTGAGTGAGTGAGTGAGGGGAGTGAGTGAGGGAAGGAGGGAGGGAGGGAGTGAAGGAGGGAAGGAATGAGTGAGTGAGTGAGTGAGTGAGTGAGCGAGCAAACGAGCGAGGGAGCGAGGGAGGGAGGGAAGGAGGGAGTAAGTGAGGGAGGGATTTAGGGAGGGAGGGATTTAGGGAGGGAGTGGGAAGTGAGTTCGGTTTTACGCCGCTTTCAGCAATATTCCAGCAATATCACTGCGGGGGACACCAGAAATGGGTTTAACATATTGTACCCATGTCGGGAATCGAACCCGGGTCTTGGGCGTGATGAGCGAACGCTTTAACCAGTTAGTGAGCAAGCAAGCACTGGAAATAGATTTCAAAATATATATTTCAAAATACTTTGAGTTTTTTAAATGAAAGAAAAAAAATGAAAACTTCAGGAAACACATTTTTCCTTGTTCTTGTCCTTGTCCCTGAATATCCTCAGCAATCAACAGAAAGCTGGAAACACCATGGGTTTCATTGTCAAGTTTAAGTCAAAAACTACAAAAAAGTCCCCTGAAATGTGTCTCCTAATTGTATTAGTGATTTCAAATTTGGTCCATGTGAAACAATAACAATATCAACATTCTGCACATACGTATTCCTCAGAGGAGTCACACCTGGGTAATGCCTTCCAGTTGCATGACACAACAAAATAAACTGGCAACATACGAAACTTTCATTCCCGTGGATTGATTCTAGAAATGTGTTATTAAACGCCAAATTTAATATATTGCAATATCACTTGCACTCAGACAGTAAATTACATTTCTAGGAAATAATAATGTAAAAAACTTGAAAATAGACACGATTAATATCTACCATATAGTAGTAGATATATATTTCAGAACCTGAAAACTAAATATCTGAATGATAATAGTCATCCCATATTTCCACTGCTGACAGAATGACCATAATTCATTGATCAACAATATTTTAACACATAACACAATATCCCAGCCATCCATTAAGTCTCATAAACTCAACGACAGTCCAATAATTGGTTTGGTGTTCCAACAAAACTGTCCCCATAGAACCTGATCCAATCTCTCCCATTAGACTAGACCAGCCCAGCCTGCCTCCCCCTCATCAATAGTGGCTCGGCCCAAACCTGAATGGATGCTGAGACAGCGAGAGTCTCCTCTCTCTACTATGCAGGGATGCCTCAGAGTGTGTGAATCTCACAATCCAAGGGAAAACTTTATGGCTTTGCCTCACAGCATACAGCAATGGATACAATATCTGTTTTATAAAAACATTCACTTGGATATGTAAGAAAATATTTATTTAGCATTTCAGACATGTTGTGGATTATACTGTGGGCTAAACAAAGCAGAGTTCAGGTGAGCAAATATGTTTTATATAATGTATTATTTGGTCACAATATTGCAAAAGGACAATATAAATATGACGTTGATCTTACATCTTGATTATCCACATGTTCATTTAAATACTAACTGAGACTGGAAGAATTTATGAAAACATTTTAAATCACTTTCAAAAATTGAAATCATGTCCTCAGAGAAACTATTAGAATACGTTATGTGAAACGGCATCCTACTTTCCTTGCCGACATGAACAAAAAAAGAGGGCAATAACTTTAAATTGCTTAAATAAAAATTAGTACAAATTTCTTTTTCTGTCAGCGATGGAAACATATATCCACATACCTTTCAGGATAAAATCTACATTGAGATCCATACTCCTCGACAAAACAAATGTCAGGTGTGACCTATTGCTGATGCCCGAGGCAAGGATATATACCTGTACCAAACTTGCCTTGGGTGAGTTAGCATGAGATTTTATTTTGAAGGGTTTTCTTGTGAAAGACCACAGCAAGATGATGTTAATATACCACATGTGCTCTGACGCCACACTTACACTAGGTTCTTATTGTTATCTGTGGAGGAATCTCGGAGGAAAACTGCACACTGTGTGTACCTGCCAATGCACATTCTAGTGGTGTTCCAACTGTTATACACTTAGTCGTAGCATCAGAAAGCTGGGGTAACTGTTGATCTAGATCCCAGTATACCAAACAGCCGTGCCTGTGAGAAATGTTAAGCTTCAACACTGACTGACTCTGGAGGCAATCAGATTGTACAAATCGCCCGCCAATAAAACTGCACTTGAATAACTGAAACATTTGCCAGCTTTGAAATGGCAGCGCTGCATATGTGAGTACTAAGTATTAACAGAAAGGAGAAAAAACTGACATTTTTTCTAAATTATGAAAATTGGATAATGCAATCAATGGAATGATAATTGTATACCATGTGTAATTACTGGAAGATCAATGTGGAGGTTGTGATGTTCTTCATATTATTGAATATCCTTTCTGATTATTGCCAAGGCTAATTTGCAGTCATCTGCTCATTATTAATCCATCTCATTAATGCATCATATTCCAGACATAAGAAGGGTTGTTGAACTGTACAGTCACTGGTTGTTAGAAACACAAATGGTCAATGCAAGACAGTAACCAGTCTAGGTTATCCGCTGATTAAAATTAACACATTAAAATTTGGCATAAAGAGCAAAACAGCTGTGTAAATTTTATGAATGGACTACTGAAAAACAGTGATGAGGTCGACACCAGGTGTTCACGAAAAGGGTAAGCATGTCCTGCCCTACGGGTAGCACCCGCCACTCACACAACTTGCATAACAAGACAAAATGGGCGTATTTCTATTGCTGAAGAATTTCTCAAAAGTCATCACTGGTGTTGTGAAATGTAGTGATTGTTAGACATGATGTACATGAGACAAATGTAGGGTACACTTCAAGACAGAAGTTGGGTCTGCATTAGTGGACAATGATACATGGAGTACTCAGAGCAGACTCCCAATGTGATGATGAAAGGGATGAATGATGTTTGTGGGAGTTCAGCAGAGTAGGAATCTTCAGGGCCAATTTCACATCTCGTAATCACCTTCTTACAGTGTTGGCATTTACTTAATCCTCTCAATTTGTCCTATCACAATTTAGATTGTCATTATTTTTCATACCACAACTTAGTATTTGGTATAAATTTGACATGTTTCCAATTGTTATGTACATGCATATGACAGCCATGTATAACAACCATAGCCACTTCATAACCACCAGACAATATGAACATAATCATGCTCCGATAAATTACAATAATATGATGTATAACAACCATAGCCACTTCATACCAACCAGACAATATAAACATAATCATGCTCCGTATAAACTACAATAATATGATGTGGTTTGATAACAATAATTGGTTTAAGTATGACCTCACAATTAAATTAACGCACATGGCACTTCATCAACTTTAAGTTGAATAACACCACGAGGTCTGATCAAGGCAACAGGAGAGGTTTCTACAGTCCTGTCATGCTGCAATTAGTTGTTCATCATCATTGTTGAATTGGATGCTCATTTAAAAGTGATTATAAAGTGGCGTTGAAAAGAGGTTGAAGTTAATTCAGAGATCACTGCTGCTGAGTGTCGCTGTTGAATGTCACTGTCAGAAGAGGCAGCAAGCTGATTGTCTGTCGTGTGCTCTTCTTCCTGAACTTCACTAAGATGGGTGGCAGCCAAGATATTCCTTCACAGGCACGCAGTCCAAAACATCAGACTTTTTCCTCTCCAGAGACACTGATTTCCAGTTAACAGGGAGTTAACGATCATAAAAGACAATTCTATATTTACTTGTACAAGAGGATTCCCAGGGCTTCCCCAGGAATAATGAAGTAGTGCGGTAGTCTTTTCATCATTTCTCTCGTATAGTCTCAAGACACCCATGAATGTCGAAGCATGCCAAATTTTCAATCATATACTTATGAAAGTCAATTTAGCTGTCATCGGACCAGCTGTTTGTCCAAGTAAAAAAAAACATATGTGAAAGTCACCACAAAAAATATATTGTGTTCACTTTTTCAGAGTTCTGACTCCCAATGTGAAATGACAACAGTCCCAGGCTTCTTGTTTTGATTGGATGATTATGGCATAGGTACGAAAGACTGGACACTTGTCCACCATGACCGCAGGGATTGACTGGTGCCCTTGGTAACAACTCAGTTCTAGAATACATGCCAAGCAGTATAACCAGATATTGGCTACTGGACGCCATGAAACCATTTCATTCATTATGACTCCTTGTAAACCTGTATTAAGGCTGACTTTTCCTCATCTAGTTTGACTGCTGGTTTGGCTTTTGGAAGATCTAGCCCAGCCAAGCCAGATCCAACTATGTCCAGAAAAGGGGAGAAGGTGCAACTGGGCTAGTTACTCTGGGCCAAGGCATGTAGATATAAATGTTCATGTGAATATCTTTGAGCAGGTTATTGCTTCCAGCATGAATGAATATGTGAACGGTTTCTGAATAAACCCCATTGTGGGCAACACCTTCTGCTGCCCTGTGGCTAGACAACATCAGTCCGCTATGGGAAGGGGGTGATCTAACACTGAAGCAGCAGGGGTAGACTAACATTTACTCCATGAAATCTTATATTACACAATATCCTTCTTGACTCTAAAAATTTAAAAAAATTCCCTATGCTGATCTGTGGAATAGAGCTGGCTAGACATGCTTTTGTATGCATTTCTAGATTTTTTTAATAATCTTTTTTCATATAATATATATATTCCACAGTCATGGTGCAGGACTACAGCAGGGGTTCACTAGCCACAAAATACTGCATCTTATACACAGACAAACTGAGAATAAACACAAATAAGTATTAATGTATCCAATGATAAAAAGTATGTCTGTCTGAATCATCAAAACCAATCAAACTTTCGACCATGCATGCACTGAAGCTTTACTGTCCTTGTCTGACTTATTCATTCCATCACTAAGTTGTTTTTCAAACAAGGAAGTTTCCACCCATAGTTTGTGTAAGTCTCCATGCCTGGGACGTCCAAAGGGCATGCCTGCATTCCCAGGACTCACACATAAAAAGGCCGTGGTATACCCCTGAAGCCGACTTACTGACTGACGCATGAGTTACACAACTGATCTCAAACTGAAACCTGATCTGGTAATGAATAGAAGACAAAAACATTACTGTGTGCCAACTGGCCTCAATTAAAAACCTGCCCTACAGTGATGAATATCTAACAAAAGCAGCTTACGGTGATCACTGGTCTCAGTTTGAAACCTGCCCTACAGTGATGAATATCTAACAAAAACAGCTTACGGTGATCACTGCTCTCAGTTAAAAACCTGCCCTACAGTGATGAATATCTAACAAAAACAGCTTACGGTGATCACTGGTCTCAGTTTGAAACATGATCTGGTGACGAATTACAAATCAAAGCATGACTGAAAACTGGTCTTAAAATTAATCCTGTCTTTGTGAAATTAGTTTCAAACGGAAACATTATCCAATATCAGAAGGTATTGGAATTGATCAAGTCATATCTATTGGCAAATGATTTCAGACAATAAGAAATTTTCAAACTGTAATCAGAAATTTAATATCATCGGTGACACCATATACACCTATAAACATTTCCTTTTGAGTCTGCTATCAATGCCTGAACTATGCAGACTAACAGACTAACAGACATCCAACCTCAGACAATACAAACATGACACAGATTATCAGCTTGACTGTGAAAACATGAAATTCAACTATACTTAGCAATCACAATAGCTCCATGTCATAAACGCAGCATTTATCAAATGTGACAATCCCAATATAACATGGTTGCAGCTTGTTGCCTGGATACTTCGTCACACCAATACATCTTACATTAGCAGCAGGTATTTCAACACAATTTCTCAACAACCTTTATTGATGATAAGTGCTTGGAAATGGAACATAAGAATTATGTCACAAAACACAAAATTTTCTGCTTCCAAACTGAAAATGCACCTGACAATCTCTGAAGTATGTTTGCCATGATGTGCTCATTCAATACAATTATCAAGTACCTCAACTGTCATAAATTCTACAATTCTATGAAAATGTATTATTTTGAAGCTCGGGTTGTGTTGCTAATCCCATGAAAATAAGCCTGAGAGAATTTGATTTGAATTCCAAACTAGGTACGAATATCAGCAAAAAGGTCTTTCATGCTGGAAGGCATCGTCAGTTCAACGTCAACCTGCCAAGAAACTAATTGCATTCAGGTATTGTTAAAGTTGAGAAAAACAATTTAATGATGACCATAAAAACAGCCTAATTTAATGCTAATAATTATGTGATGCATATGTGGTCTAATTACGGCAGTACTGAAAAAGAACTTGTTAAAAACAGCATTTATGTTTCAAGCAGACACAAATGGAAGAGAGACACTACATTTAGCAGAAAATCAATTCTTGGAAGCATGAGACAAATTGATTCATTTTCACTTCTACAATGTGACAATTTAGAATACTTACCATACTGAAACAGACAGGAAGACAACTAAATACGACAAATATAAATCTGTTAACAATGACCCCAAAGATGAATAATCTGTCTAGTTCATGTCCATGACCTTGTTGAGAAACAAGTTACAGCGGTGAGAAACCAGTTTTACGATGAGGTGCTTGTCTCTGTGGTGAAGGACTGTATTGTAACAAGTTACAGCGGTGATAAACCAGTATTACAGTGAGGTGCTTGTGTCTGTGGTGAAGGACTGTATTGTAACAAGTTACAGCGGTGAGAAACCAGTATTACAGTGAGGTGCTTGTCTCTGTGGTGAAGGACTGTATTGTAACAAGTTACAGCGGTGATAAACCAGTATTACAGTGAGGTGCTTGTGTCTGTGGTGAAGGACTGTATTGTAACAAGTTACAGCGGTGAGAAACCAGTATTAC